TGCTCATGGGATAACACTAACTGGTAAGATACAGACTGTACATTACATATCTCCTACACTTACAATTGCCTTCGAACAGAAAAGACATTAAAAACTTTGCAAGCAAATATTCCAAAAGGTTTAAGGTCACAAGGTCATTTTGAAGGGACTGTAGGGAACCTTTCATTTTTACTTTCTGAGCCAGTAGGACACAGGAGTGCAGCCACCAGCCTGCGCATAGATTAATTCAGGCTTGGTACAAGCTGGTATGTAACCTTAGAAGGTTTCTTTCCTTCCTCTCTTCCTCCCTTCTTTCCTTCTTTCTCTTTTTATTTCTCTCTTTCTCTTTTTATTTCTCTTTCTCTCTTCATTTTTCTCTCTCTTTCTCCTTTCTTTCTTGACAATGTATTATAATGAAGCCAACAATACATGAGAGCGACAGAAAGGAAAGTAGTGTGGAGTGGATCCTGTGAAAGACCCAAGACAAAGTAATAGCCACAATCTGACATTTCATTATATTCTAATAGACTCTAATGTATGCCTGATGACCTAGTAGTAATTCATAAGGTTGTTCACAACTTTTTTAGACAGCACATAATATTAACATTCAAACAAAGTATTATAGGAAGTCTTATAAAAAAAGTTCATGGTAATCCTTTTTAAAAACCTATTCCATTTTGAAAGATCAACAGTGTATTTTTAAAAATCATAAGAAAAGGAAAAACAAAAAATAAATAAAAATTTTAAAGAGAAGAAAAGAAAAGGAAAGTAAGTTCATTCACCCGCTTCCATCCCAGTATATAAGAACTACTTGCTAGTATTTGTATTTTAAATGCCTGGGATAAAACAGGTCAAATTTTCAAGTAGCTTATATAAAGGCTTGATTCATTTGATTTAGCACCAAGGAAGAGTACATGTCCCATGGAAGATACAGTTGGGTTTTCCTTCTACCTCTCATGTTGTTCCTCTTCTACCAAGCCTCAATTATAAACATGCAACCCTGTTGCCACACTAAGAAATCTAAATAATTTAGGTTTTAAAATGGCTGCTATGGCCAGGTGTGGTGATACATGTCTATAATCTCAGCCTTCAAGAGGCTGAGGCAGAAGGATGTTGAGTTCAATGCCAGCTTGAGCTACATAGAAAGACCCTATCTCGAAAACCAAGGGTTAAGGGGCAACGGCTTGGCTCAAGTGGTAGAGTCCTTGCCTAGGAAGTGAGAGGCCCTGAGTTCAAATCCTAGTACCACCAAAATAAAACAAACAAAGAACTGGGGGATTGTAGCCTAGTGGTAGAGCACTTGCCTAGCCTGAATAAGGCCCTGGGTTTGATCCCCAGCACCACACATAAAAAAAGTGTAACAGGGAGGAGGGCCAGAAAAGAAGAAAGCAAGTCTGTGTTCTGATAATGTAGCAGGGGGAGAGGATGGCATAGCAGGGAGATAAAACTTAAAGAATCTAAACGTAAAGAAGGTCACACAGCACTAGGGGGTGAAGTAGCCAGTAGAGTTGCATGCAACCATATATGGGTTAAACCTTGCTTCTTGCTTCTGTACCCTGCTTGCAAGGGTTTATAAGGTGAGACCCCTTAGTTCTCAAGGCTCAGCCTTTGGACATGAGTCCACTGAGTCTGTGCTGACATGATAAAACATTGCTTCCTGCTGAACTGCCTTGGTGTCCCGTTTCCCTGTCCTTCAGTATCCTGCAACAAAAGCTGCTCAAATGACACTATCAGAGTTTTTCCCCCTTAAAATAGGGTGGCAGTTGTCAGGCACAGTGATACACACCTGTAATTCCAACATTCAGGAAGCTGAGGCAAGAGGACCATGAGTTTGAGACCAGCCTGGGCTACAAAGAGAGACCCTGTTTCCAAAGGAAAAAAATGAAGAGGGTGACAGTAAACAGTAGAAAATTCCTTTCATGCAGAAGTAAAAATCTCCTTTACAGAACTCAGTTATTTTTCTGGTCCTTTTTAACCTATTATATAATTTTTTATTGCTATACCTGTTTACTAATTATGATTGATATTTACGTCAAGGGAATATCCCCCAGGCATGCTGAACTGTTTCTATTTCCTTAATGACAAAGTATGCCTCCTTTACATAGTGATACGGGTTTTCTCTCATTCTTTTCTTTTTCTTCTTACTATAACTTGTTATTTATCAGGGCAGATTATATGTTTAGATCAAAAAGAGAAAGTGACAAGTAGATCTTAAAACAGACATCTTTTAGCCTGATAACAACTGACAACCTAGGACCTTATTACATTGTCCATTGAAAAGTGATTCAATACTCCAGAGGCACTTGCACAACCCATGTTTATTGTGGCACTATTCACAATAGCCAAGTTATGGAAACAGCCAAGATGCCCCACCACTGACGAATGGATTAAGAAAATGTGGTATCTATACACAATGGAATTTTATGCAGCCATGAAGAAGAATGAAATGTTATCATTCGCTGGTAAATGGATGGAATTGGAGAACATCATTCTGAGTGAGGCTAGCCTGGCCCAAAAGACCAAAAATCGTATGTTCTCCCTCATATGTGGACATTAGATCAGGGGCAAACACAGCAAGGGGATTGAGCTTTGATCACATGATAAAAGCGAGAGCACACAAGGAGGGGTGAGGATAGGTAAGACACCTAAAAAATTAGCTAGCATTTGTTGCCCTCAATGCAGAGAAACTAAAGCAGATACTTTAAAGCAACTGAGGCCAATAGGAAAAAGGGACTAGGAACTAGAGAAAAGGTTAGTTCGAGAAGAATTAACCTAGAAGGTAACACACACGCACAGGAAATCAATGTGAGTCAATGCCCTGTATAGCTATCCTTGTCTCAACCAGCAAAAACCCTTGTTCCTTCCTATTATTGCTTATACTCTCTCTACAACAAAATTAGAAATAAGGGCAAAAATAGTTTCTGCTGGGTATTGAGGGGGTGGGGGGGAGAGGGAGGGGACGGAGGGGGTGGTAAGGGGGGGGTGGGGGCAGGGGGGAGAAATGACCCAAGCCTTGTATGCACATATGAGTAAACTAAAAATAAAATAAAATAAACAAAAGTGATTCAATGTTGTTGCTTAGTTAAGATCTTATGTCAATTTCTGACATAAATCATATGTCACGGTACACATGTATTTTTAAAAGGGATGTTTTCCTATATGCTAATAGTACTTTTTTTTTTTTTTAGCAAATTGAAAGTTCCGAGTAAACTGAAGGTATGTGTAACAACAAAATAAATACAGCATATGTGGCTGACTTATATGTTCCTTAGTGTAAAGGCAGCAAAGAATTTGCATCTTGAAATGGATCTATAAATCCAGTTGCTTTTTCTGGAATATCATATAGTGTTTCACAAAACCCTGTCCAAAGAGACTAGAAAACACCTTTTTTTTTTTTTCAGTACTGGGGTTTGAGCTTAGAGCCTCATGCTTATTAGGCAGGCACTCTACCACTTGAGCCACTCCACCAGCCATTTTTTGAGTTGGGTTTTTTCAAGATAAGGTCTTGCGAATTATTTGCCTGGGCTTGCTTTGAACCTTAACCCTCCTGATCTCTGCCTTCTGAGTAGCTGGTATTACAAGCACAAGCCACCAGCACCCAGCCATCCTTCTGTTTTCATTTTTGACACTGGTATATGCAAAAGAAACTGATGAGATATTTTTCCCAAATGACATGCATTTTTTTAAACTTTTCTAGAAAAATATGAAAATTTTATCAATCACTTTCTCTTACAGAACAGAAAGCTAGATTACTACCAATTTCTCTTTTAAAATTGTTCTAATGGATTTTTTTAACGTTTCAACATCTCTGATGTTTTTGAATTGTATATCCTTAGAAGGTAACTGGATAAAACATAATAGATAATTTCAAAAGATCAGTCTTAGTATCTGACTCATTTGCCACATAGTAATATCCAGAATGAAATCAAACATAATTTATTTAGAAATAAAACATAATTTTCAAAGAAAATGCTGAGTCTTAGGAAAAGGAGCTGCTAAATGCAGATGAGTATCTTAAACTAAGCAAGTAAGAAAATTCAAGACAATTATTAAAGTCAGGGAAAAAACAGTAAATTTTTTTAAAAAAAAAAAGGGTAAAATCTCAGCAAAATACACACACACATATATATGTGGCTGTATAATGTAAAGCAATTAACATTGATTAACCAAAAATGTAATAAATTGGGAGACTTTGGGGTTGGAAGTTGGAAGGAGTAATGTAGACGATCTAAATTCTTATCTATTGATCTAATTTATCTGTCATCTGTCTATATCCAAGAGGAACTCAATAGTGTCTGAAATTCTTAAATCAAGAAATAGACACATTCCCCCTCAGAAGTAGAACTGAAGAATACAAAATAGAAACAGTGGTGACTCTTGCCGAGGGAGATAAGCCTTATTTGTTTAAACTATCAGTATTCTATTGCTGCTGGAACAATTAGAACAAATTTAGTGGCCAAAATCCTCCCATGAAATTATTATCTTGAAGTTCGGGAAGTCAGAAATCTGAAATGGGTCTCACTATGGGTCTCACTGAACTGAAATCCAGGTGATGGCAGGGCTGACCTCTCACCTAAGACCAAGAAAAGGCCTTCTGAGCTTCTAGAAACTAGAGGCTGTCCATCTGGCTGGGCTCGTGGATTTTTCTGGCCAGCAATAACATCACTCCAAACTCTGCTTCCATGGTCATATCACCTTCTGTGAAGCTTCTGACTCACCATATCTTTTATAAAGACCCTTATGATGACAAGGAATAATTGCCCCATCTTGTGGTGCTTAGTTTAATCACACCTGTAAAGTTCCTTTGCCATGTAAGGTTCCAGGGATTAGGAACCTTGGGATATCTTGGGAGAGGGTCTACTTACTACAATGTGTCTGCATTATTTAATAATTAAAAAACATGACCCAGTGGGAGGTTCAGCGGCTCGGGCGCTGTTGTTTGGGCCTCTCGAGGGGCGTTCTCTGGAGGGCCCCCGGCGCAGGCCGCAGTGACAGGGCCGCCCGCCCCCGCGCACCCCGCCTCTCCCGGTGCAGCGTCGCTCGCACTCCCCGCGTCCTGCAGGCCCAACATGGCGCAGGAGGTGTCGGAGTACTTGAGCCAGAACCCGCGGGTGGCCGCCTGGGTGGAGGCCCTACGCTGCGAGGGCGAGACTGACAAACACTGGCGCCACCGCTGGGAGTTTTTGCTCCGCAATGCCGGGGACCTGGCCCCCGCGGGCGGCGCTGCCTCCGCGACGGAGGATGGTGGGGACGCCGAGGGCGGGACCCGCAACCGGCAGCTGCAGCAGCTTGTGTCGTTCTCCATGGCCTGGGCCAACCATGTCTTCCTTGGGTGCCGGTACCCTCAAAAAGTTATGGATAAAATTCTTAGTATGGCTGAAGGCATCAAAGTGACAGATGCTCCAATCCATACAACAAGAGACGAACTGGTTGCCAAGAAGGGGTAGAAGAGCCATCCAAAAAGCGAATCATAGAAGGAAAAAACAATTCTGCAGTTGAGCGAGATGGAAAAATTTCTGCTAAAACTGAACGGACATCAGCTCAGCAGGAAAACAGTTCAACATGTACGGGGTCATCCACCAAATCGGAGAGTAGTGGGAACTCATCTCGGAGCTCTGGCATCTCCAGTCAGAATAGCCCTACAAGTGATGGAGATCGATCTGTTTCCAGCCAAAGTGGCAGCAGCATTTCCTCTCAGGTAACAACAGCAGGGTCTGGAAAAGCTGAATCAGAAGCTCCAGATAAACATGGTTCAGCATCACTTGTTTCTTCCTTGTTGAAATCCAGTGTGAATAGTCATGTTACTCAATCCACTAATTCCAGACAGCAAAGTGGATCACCTAAAAAGAGTGCTTTGGAAAGTTCTTCGGTCTCAGCTTCTCAGAGCAGCTCAGAGATTGAGGTGCCCTTGTTGGGCTCCTCTGGCAGCTCAGAAGTAGAGTTGCCATTATTATCTTCTAAACCTAGTTCAGAGACAGCTTCAAGTGGGTTAACTTCCAAAACTAGTTCAGAGGCAAGCGTTTCATCATCGGTTTCTAAAAACAGTTCCTCATCAGGCACATCATTACTAACTCCCAAGAGCAGCTCAACAAATACATCATTGCTAACTTCCAAAAGCACTTCACAGGTAGCTGCATCACTGTTAGCTTCCAAAAACAGCTCCCAGACCAGTGGATCTCTGGTTTCCAAAAGCACTTCCTTAGCAAGTGTGTCCCAGCTAGCGGCTAAGAGTAGTTCTCAGAGTAGCACTTCACAGTTGCCTTCTAAAAGTACGTCACAGTCAAGTGAGAGTTCTGTCAAATTCTCTTGTTGCAAGTTAACCAATGAAGATGTGAAACAGAAGCAGCCTTTCTTCAATAGACTGTATAAAACTGTGGCATGGAAATTAGTAGCAGTCGGTGGCTTTAGTCCCAATGTGAATCATGGAGAGCTCCTAAATGCAGCTATCGAGGCTCTGAAAGCAACACTGGATGTGTTTTTCGTCCCATTAAAAGAACTGGCAGATCTGCCTCAAAATAAAAGCTCTCAAGAAAGTATTGTTTGTGAATTAAGGTGTAAGTCTGTGTATTTGGGCACTGGATGTGGAAAAAGCAAAGAAAATGCAAAAGCAGTTGCATCAAGAGAAGCACTGAAGTTATTTCTCAAGAAAAAGGTGGTGGTAAAAATATGTAAAAGGAAATACAGAGGCAGTGAGATAGAAGATCTGGTACTCCTTGATGAAGAATCAAGACCTGTAAACTTGCCTCCAGCATTAAAACATCCTCAAGAATTACTATAATATGTTCAAAATAGCACTGCACACAGTATCTGGTATTTGAAGAGAAAAAACTGGCTTACTTTTGTACACTATAAAACACAGGCTTTCACAGATTTTGTATTGCTTTTTTCCAGTTTTGCAGAAAATTTAATTCTAGTTCTCTTCATAAAAGTAGAAATTGTAAATAATTTATGATTGACAGTACACATTAAAAGGTATGCACTAACAGCATGCTAGTATGCTGTTTTATTTGCTGAAGAAAGTACTGTCTTCTATTTTTAATGATACATTGGGTACGATGTGTAGTTCTGTAGAGTCTGAAAATTTTTGTAATACTTTGAATTTGGTGAAAATGTATTAAGTTGTCTACCATGCTTTTTTTTCTAGCTGAATTAAACCATATCAAAGAAAAGGGGACCACAGTATTTGAATGTTGGAAAGTCTGTGAAACTTAAGGTTTTAAGAATGTTACCCATAATGTTGAACAAGTCTGTTAAAGAATAAAAGAAAAAATAGTTGCCTCAGACTATTTTTATTAGAAGTTGTAAGCATTTTTTAGATACAAAGCAGTATAAAGTACTTATTGTTATTTTATTCTGAAGTTGTTTAAAATTCACCATGATTTTCACCGCTGGCAATTGTTTAAGCGGGTTAATTTATGTTTTGAGGTAAAATGCAATTTACACTTTTTCTTAAAGACATAAATGTGGGTTTCTATATTAAGCATATTTTGTGACTACTATTAACAGATTGATTTGTTTAAATATTAAATGCTTTAAGCTATAAAAAAAATGACCCAATAACTCTTCCTGTAGAAATTAACTAATGGATTAGTCAAGTCCATAAAAATCTTTGTTAGACATTGTTAAGGAAAAGCATAAACTACCACATGCTCATAGTAAAAAGGTTTAAGGCACAGCCACAAAAAGGCAATTATGTAGCAATTAAACATTTTCTATACAGCTTTTTTTTTTAGACAAAATCTCACTGTTGCCCAGGCTGGTCTCAAACACAGGAGTTCAAACAATTCTCCAACTTCAGCCTCCCAAGCAGCTGGAACTACACCACAACCAGCACTAGATATTTTTGATGAGTAGAAAAAGACGCTCACTATATGTTAAGTGACAAAGGCAAATTAATATGTTAACAACTATTCAATATTTAATCTCAAAAATGTGTGTATAATGTGTAGAAAAATATAAGCATTTAGGTATATATGAACATATGTATGTGTACAGATATTTATATATTGTGCATGCATATATGCAGAGCATGTATACATATATTACACACACACCCATATTTATGAAAGACAGGAACAGAGAAACAGAGAAGAAAAATGTGTGTGTTTCAGTGATGCAAGGATGATTAACATACACAAATCAATAAATATAATACATCACTAAATATAATGAAGAAAAAAATCATATGATCATGCCAATAAATGCAGAAGAAGCATTTGATAAAATCCAATATACCAGCATGAATGAGGTAGGTACAGAAGGATCAATCATACCTCAACACAATAAAGGCTATATTTGACTTATTCATAGCCAACATCATATTGAATAGGGAAAAATGAAAGAATTTCCTCTAAGATCAGGAATAACATAAGGCTGCCCACTGTTATTGCTATTAGTCAATATAGTTCTAGAAATTTTATTAAGAGCAATTAGGTAAGAGAAAGAAACAAAAGGCATAAATATAGGTAAGAAGGAAGTCAAATTATCTGTGTTTGCTAATGACATTATTCTTTATATAGAAAAATCTGCACTCCACCAAAAGACTATTAGGACTGATAAATAATTTCAATAAAGTAGGATACAAAATCAACATACAAAAATCAATAGCTTATTTATACACCAATAATGAATTTTCTAAGAAAGAAATCATAAATGCAATCCTATTCATAATATTCACAAAAATAAAATACCTAGGAATAAATTTAATTAACTAAGGAGGTGAAAAACCTCTACAATGAAAATTATAGAACACTGAAGGCAGAACTTGAAGAAGACAGTAGAAGATGGAAAGACCTCCCATGTTCATGAATTGGAAGAATTAATATTGTTAAAATGGCCATACTACCTAAAATGAACTACAGAGTCAATGCAATCCCCATCAAAATACCAATGACTTTCTTCACAGAACTTAAAAAATCAATCCAAAAATTCATATGGAAGCACAAAAGACCCTGAATAACCAAGACAATCCTGAGCAAAAAGAGCAAAGCTGGAGACATCACAATACCTGATTTCAAGAAATACTACAAAGCCATAGTAACCCAAACGGCATGATATTGGCATAAAAACAGACACCTAGACTGATGGAACAGAATAGAGGACCCAAAAATAACCCCCAGGCAGCTCTAGCTGTCTGATCATTGACCATGGTGCTAAAACATACATTGGAGAAAAGACAGCCTTTTCAACAAGTGGTGCTGGGAAGACTGGATATCCACATGTAGAAGACTGAAACTAGACCTCTATCTCTGACCCTGTATTAAAAAAGTTGAAAATAGATCAAAGACCTTATGGGTCTCGCTTCGGCAGCACATATACTAAAATTGGAACGATACAGAGAAGATTAG